ATTTGATGAGATAACCACCTGTCCAGTGGCCTTGCAGAGTGGTCTAATCCCTCCTGTACACTAGTACAGATGGGCTTTAAACTGGTTGTATATCTATATATATATATATACATACTCCAGCAACAAATGCTCTACTGTCCATTCCGTACACTAATCTCATTATTGACCTCAACCCTTCAATCATCATTTCATATTTGTCCTTGATCTTAAACCTTTCCTGAATTAGTTACACCATGTCAACAAACTTGTAAACTGATGATTCTCCTTGTGATACTCTTTGATACTCACAGGACTGTCTTCTTGAGACTGGCTTCCTTGGTAGTTCTCTTCCTGTCTCTCTACCCTCAGATCGTGTGCCCTAATACAGCGACCCCACCTTGCGATGTTTGCCCAAGTGACTTGAAGGTCAGTATTTGCTTTACTTTGTCATGTTTGCCCAAGTGACTTGAAGGTCAATATTTGCTTTACTTTGTCATGTTTGCCCATGTGACTTGAAGGTCAATATTTGCTTTACTTTGTCATGTTTGCCCAAGTGACTTGAAGGTCAATATTTGCTTTACTTTGTCATGTTTGCCCAAGTGACTTGAAGGTCAATATTTGCTTTACTTTGTCATGTTTGCCCAAGTGACTTGAAGGTCACTATTTGCTTTACTTTGTCATGTTTGCCCATGTGACTTGAAGGTCAATATTTGCTTTACTTTCTACAGATCTAAGTGAACTTAGTTTGTAACGGTTCATAATGCTCTGAAATGTAATTTTGTGCAATTCTGTTTGTCATAAGTTTAAAATGTGAATGGAATGAATGAAATGAATTTCTTGCAATGTTAATCCCTTGGTGCAATCCTTGGGGGCGGATATGTGCCTCTTTTAAATTGTATTATTTCTTGAGGGTAAAATCCTGAGCATAATTTAAAATATATGTAAATTGAACAACTTCAGGGTAAAATTGATAGAGATAATACAGTGTAGTACTAGTATATGGATGCTTTATGTTTCTGTAGAATACAAACAAAATAGAGCAATGTCTATACACTGGTTTGTTTTGATTTGATTTTTTTTGTTATTTTGCCTAATGCCATGCATTTATATTTTAAAGTTTCTGAAAGGGGGGCGGGGGAGAGGTGGGGATGACTGTTTCATGTAAAAGCTTGGCCTCATGTCTACTGAAAAGAATATGATCAAGTACAATACAATTTGCCATGTTTTATATTCTATAATGTTGATATCATTTCTGTCCAATTCCAGTGCTGGGAGACATACATAGGGAGAGAATTCTACAAGTTGACAATTACTGACTTTGCAGCTGTTGTACTGGTGATTGTTTTAGTTGAGTTCCCTAGAAAGTAAGTACTTTTAGGGCTGGATTCTATTATCTACTGTACTTTAATAAAAATATATACATATATGTCTCTTTTCTTTCATGTTTTCTCTTTTCATTCAAATGCTTTAAAAATATTATAATAATTATAGCTACCGGTACATTTATATTGCACACATTTCCATCCCAGGGGATGCTCAAGGTGCTTACAAAGTAGTATCATTACCCTGGCTTTAGCCCAGCTGCCCTAAGGCGCTAAAAACATTAAAGGAATACAATCTTACCAGGTACGCCTTTACTACACCTGGGTGGAGAGTGGAAAATATAGATTGATTTATATAATGCTGAACAAAAGTTAACGCCAAATCCAAAGAAAACTCTCTAAAAATAGCACCATTGATCTCTGAAGGTAATACATGAGAAAGACAGCATACAGACTAATCATTAATGTTTTTCCATGGCTCTCAGTATAGTGTTGTAAATAACTTTCAAAATTTACTCATCTATTTCAGTATTTATTTATTTTTATATGTTGTTGTTGCATTTCTGTTCTCATTGTTTAGACTTGCAGCCAAGTACTGTCACTGTGGGATAGCCAAAGCTCTTGGTCAAATGGAGTTTGAACTTCCTAAGAATGTCCTGGCCATTGTTTACTCTCAAGCTTTGTGCTGGTAAGAATAATTCACGCTTCATATGGTGATGAGTGATGACATCGTTTAAATTTTACCTGAAGGTTAAGAGAGCAAGTGTTTTAGCTTTTAGATACATGTACTTGTAAATTAAATAGAAAGGGGATATATGGCTCTGCGAGAGGGACTCACTTGGTAATTTAAGATTAATGCCTTGACAAAGAAAAGTATTGCATCTAATTGGTTTCAAATCAAATACCTCCTGGATACGAGACCACTGCAGCTCTACCACTGTGCCATTATGCCTTCTAAGTAACCCATGTGTATAGGATAGAATGTCAATATGCGTATATTAATCTAAATCAAATACTTCAAGGCCACTTTCTGATGGATGTTGAGTCAGGTTTTGGGTGAATACTTTCAAATTGGGATGAGATATAAGATGAGATCCAATGACAATTTGTTGTATGATTCAAGATCGATACGAGAAGCCATTTAAGGATGTCTGTATTTTTTTTGGTCCAAAAACATGAGATACTTTCGAACTTGACCAGTCAAATGGCCTAGAGAACTATAATGGCTATATTCTAAAAGTCACAATTGAACTAATTTAGAGAGACGGGGAGAGAAAAAAAGCATACAGACAAACTGATATCCTTAAATTTAGCAGATTTGCAGTAGTTCTTTGTAGTTCATTTGCTGTCATGCTCTCTAACCATGTGTATAACGTTTTATTTCAGGGTTGGATCCTTCTACAGCCCTCTCCTTCCAGCGATCTGTGTGCTGAAATGCTTTGTCTTCTTCTACTTCAAGAAATGGAGTCTGTTATACAACATGGTGCCTTCCTCGCGTCCTTTCAGAGCGACTCGGTCTGGTATCTTCTTTATGGTCATCCTCCTCGTCACGTTCCTCATCTGCCTCATTCCCATCGGTTACTCCATCTCATCGTGAGTTCAAAGACTTGACCTATAGATTCATGTTCTGAAGCTATTCGTGCACTATAAGATATGATGATAGTAATAAAATAATGATAATATGTCTTGTTTACCCAGGGTAGCCTCATCAGTATTCATACTGTTCTCCCTGAGGGCCCTACAATCATATTATTACCCCGGTCATCGGATTCAGGCTTACCCGCACATAATGTATGCACATTCTCCACTCCCTGGGGAGCATTCCAGCCAGGCGTCATTTTTACATGCACACACTTGCTAATCTAAGCACATTAGCTTTCGCATCCTACCGGGTACCCAATTTAACACCTGGGTGGAGAGTGGCAAATGTAGATCAATGTCTTGCCAAAGGACATTAGTGCCGCGGTGGGACTTGAACCACGGACCTTGTGATCCACAGTCCGGTGACATATCCACTCGTCCACGACACCTCTACAACTCCAAAACTCTTTAGGGTTTATGCAGCGCCTAATACATTGATGGTGTCTCTAAGCACTTTACAGATATATAATTGCCTGGGTCGTTGGATTCAAGGCTTTCCTGCAGACAATGCACACATTCCTTGTAAAGGTCAATCAAAGGAGACAAGAAAACAGGTGGTCTTCATAGACAAATGTATGATCTTTATGACAGGCTTCATAAGTGTAAGTACAGGTTTCATTGTGAAACATTATTCATTGAGGGGGTGGGGGGGGGGAGCAATATGACCTTTACAGACGTTTGGTTGTTTGGCAGTATGCAGGTGGTCGCTCTAAACTGGTTTCACTCTTAGTTTCAGTTAGCGAAGTCTGTTCTATATCATATTAAGAGGTTGTTAATTAGTGAGATTCAAATTTATGGATGATTGTCTACTGTTATGCACTTTTAATGGATTAGTAGAGACCTTCACTGTTTATACATGTAGCTTTGAGATTTGAACTAACAAGAAAAAAAGCTAGTGATTGCAATGTTTTGAGGAGGCGTGGTAGCTCAGTCGGTAGAGCAGTGGTCTCGTAATCCGGTGACCGGGGTTCGAAACTAAGTCGATGCGCTAGTGCCCTTTGTAAGGCATTAATCCTCATTACCAGGTCCCTCGGAGAGGACCTGAAGCCGTTGGCCGTCTGGTTGCTTATTTACTTACAAGCATTTATGCTTTCTTAGCAGTCGGGTAAAATAACCACCATCACCATGATTATTTTGATTGCAGAATAACACCATCATCAGGGTGTGGTCCTTTCCGCGGTCATACATCAATGTGGGGAGAACTTGTTGAGACCATTGATGAATGGGATAACTTCTTCGAGCAAGTCTTTGAATTCATCGGTTCAGCAGCTTTCGTTGTTCCCCTCATCATTATTCTACTGTAAGTAAATCTAGAACTATTACCACTGTTATTGCTACATGTTTTTATTCTTACTTTGTATCCATATTTTGTCAGTCTTCCATGTTTTATTTTCATTGTCAACCTTATTCCTCCCTCTTTCTATGTATTTGCATTATATCTTTTACGTATTCCATCTTTCTGTTTCTTCATTTTTCATTTTTCTTATTTGTTCCCTTCTTTCTCTCTGTTCTTTTCTGCCTCTTTTCTCTCCTCCTTCTTAAACTTCTTTTGTTTTTCTTCTCTTTCATCAACCACAATTTTTGTCAATGAGATATTACTACACGCATCAACATATAAAGCAAATCAAATCTTAATGATTTCTATGACATTTAAATGTACACTCTCTTTGTGTCTCTCTAAAATGACATTTGCCACTTTGACGTTTAATAGCCATACATCAGCGATGTAGATAAGAGGTGTGTTGATCTTTATAACTGACATGGATTGATGTTGAGTGCCTGCATTCATATACTGAATAATCAAAGTACCATGTAATATGTTCTGTGTCTGTTGTTACTCCTGTCTGTATGCATGTATGTATGCAGGGATGTATTTGTTTCATTTCAATCAAGAACTAACTATGTACTTTTGATGTGAGGCCAAAGTTCTCAAACATTATTTTCCATGAAGAGAAATGTATTCTGTGAAACTAGCACATTGTGAAAAAATGATACTGCTGATGTAGACAGAAAAAATTATGAATTTATGTTTAAAAGGGTAAAAGTGTGTAAACCTGTACTGATTGATTTATGTTTTGTCAATTGTTTGTGTCGGAACAGCCTGAGTGTAAAGATTAGTGTAGTGTACCTTAATGTGTAGTAGATGGATCATTGTACCTTCATTTCATATAGATCTATATAATCTGTGTTACCCTAATTGAAACCATTCTAGACTTTTGTTAAAAAATGTCCATTTACTTTTATGTCTTTTTCTTTTCTTTCTACAGACTTGTTCTTTACTACTACCATGCTATCTCAGCAGCTCACAAAGAGATGGTACTTCTACTCAAAGAACAGCTCATTATGGTAAGCTAATCAGTCTACGGACATGGTCAAGTCTTAGCATGTTCATGTCTCCTGTACTATGTTCAAAGTTCAATTGGACCCATCTGCTGAACGATGGTCCCAAGTTTAAAGGCATCGTTTAACAATGTTAAATCTGAGATGCATGGCCCTACGTGTTATCAGTGTCTGTGATATGGTGTAATATTCCCTTTAAAAAATGCGCTTCAAAATGATCATGAAGTGTCTCACAAAAGTAAAAATCTTTGAGTGATCGGTTTTACCATAATCAATTTCCCCAATAGACTGTAGTGTTATGAAAACGCAAAATGAAATTTTGATTTTCAATCATAAATATCTTGATAATCAGACAGGTGATCGGCTTGTAAAAGTCATGGGATTCCTAAATGATATAAAGGTTTATAATTATGATTGCAGCACGAGCTAAATCAAGGATTTTGTTTTAATAAGGATCTGAGACAAAGTTACATGATCCCTTTAAGTGACTCGATCATTACACATCTGTGACGATGATGATGATAAAGATTTTATCCAATTTATCATGATCAATGTTAATATTCATGTAACACTGGCAACACTGTTTATTTAAAGTTTTAGGTATTATGACTTCTGGGTTAATGTCATATCTGGTAGCTTAACTTGAGATCCTGAGTGGACTATCTGCCTAAATCTGTGACACTTTTATTGCCTTCAACGTTTTTTTCTACAGGAGGGGCGAGATAAAAATTTCCTCTTGGCGAGGCTGAACGAGCTTGACCCTGCAACCACCAAAGGTCACCAGAAATCTCGGAGGAAGCAGATCATGAACCAGGAAGAGTCCCCGCCACGAATAGCATCTGAGGCATGGAGTGAAGGAGGTCCAACAGGCAAGCATCCATTCGCTATGTAACTAAGAAGAGATTGGTGGTCCAACAGGCAAGCATCCATTCGCTATGTAACTAAGAGGAGATTGGTGGTCCAACAGGCAAGCATCCATTCGCTATGTAACTAAGAGGAGATTCAAGGTCCAACCGGCAAGCAACCATTCGCTATGTAACTAAGAGGAGATTCGAGGTCCAACCGGCAAGCAACCATTCGCTATGTAATCAGAGAAGATTGGTGCAGCATTGTTGCAAGGAACTGGGACCAGTTTGACAAAGCCTTTTTTCAATGACAAATGACAAAAATCAGTGACAAATCTGTTGATAACCAATCAGAAGCAAGGATTTCGGTAGCTTATGACAAAAACGTTAATTTGTCACTGATGACAAGTTTTGTGAAAAGGGTCCCTGCCCTTATGGTGCACTTTTGTATGACGGAATCTGGGGGGGGGGGGGGGGAGGAGGGGAGATATTTACTCGAGTTGACATGGTTACCTTGGTGTCTCGTTAATGCAGGAGTGGTATGTGTATGCATTGAAAGATTGAATCAATATATACTGCGCAGGGTACTTTTGAACATTCAACAGGACATGATGCTATAGCTGCCACAAATGTTGACGGCAGCAACCAAGGGGATGGATGTTGAGTGAAAGGATTCTAAAAAATTAACTTTTGGATTGGACAGAAAGTCACATGACATATTTTAGAAATGCTGTCCCTAAATGAATTTTAAAAAACATACTTGGATGAAAATTCCTCTCTTGGTTATTAAAATAATCGCCATTTTATCTGGAAATTTTCCAGTTTTACCAATGCAATGTTTTAAGAGTGTAATGATTCAAGCAAGGGAGACTATTTCTCCAAAATTCCTACTAGTGTCCTCAAAGCGAGCTTCTGAGTTTGAAGGTGATTGTGCATGCAACAAACAGCTGTTAATAGTGATATCTATCTCCCAAAGTGCAACATGATGATGTGTAATAAATGTATGATATTGTACAGAAGATTCTATATATCTAAATATATTTCTAGCATCAATAGAGAGGCATTGTATATATATTCTTGCATGTAGTGTGGTATTGACATCAAGATCCAGCAATGGGACTTACCTGTGTTAAATTTTCAATGTATTTGTGTGTTTTTTAATTTTTTAAATGATACTTCTAATGGATTTTTACCAATAAGTCAATGAGATCTGACTTCTAGAGCGCAGAAAAAGTGAGATTGACTTTTGAAAAAGTGAACATGGTTATTATTTAAACAAACGAAATCTGAAGATACTATATTTACTAATTCTGACAATCCTTCTGTATATATATATATATGATGCTAATTTAATTCTAACTGTTTGTCAAGAATACATAATTCAGTCATGTATGACATAGATATGCATGCATGAATAGTTAGTAACCTGCCCGTTTTTTTCAAAATGTGACTAAAATTTCTCGAATATTTACTGTGATGTCATTTTTTGTTGTTTAAAGGCTGCAAGGATTTGGAAAACCAATATGTCTTCCTAGAGGTTGATTTTTTAAAAATGGGATTTATAGTTAAGATGACAAGAATATGCCTGAAAAAGTATAAAAAATTCATCAATGTCATTTGCAAAAGAATAAGAACACTGCCTTATGGATCATCCCAGTGTAGGGTGTGTATGGTGCCTAATTCATACCTTAATAATCTTTGTGAAACAGATTTTACATTCTAATGTTTTCCCTATATATATATATATGCATAGGAGATAAAAACACAGCCTTGTATACACCCTCTGCCTTCAGTGTAATATTGTAAAAGGTTTAGGGTAGCAGGGGTTCACCCTGAATTGTTTTAAAACCAGAAACTGTTACGAATTCTGAAGGACTGCCCTTTACCTCACCTAGAAACTCTTTTAAATTGCAATTTTGAATTGAGTCAATTGAATTTTGGGTATAAAACCTTTCCAACTTTTGTTACTGACTGTTATTCGTGAGAGTTTTCATGCTCGTGGAAGCTTGTGGACCTTTAGACTGTCATCCGGGCAGCACAAGTATTTATGCATGTCAAAAATTATATCAAACAAGCATACAGAAAGAGAAAGTATGATAAATAGTTCTGGAGAGGGGTCACATTCCCTAAACTTAAAACAGCTCTTGTATCAAATAATATTCACTTTATACATGTATAAATGACTCCTGCCTCTTTCGATTAAGTCTTTCATATTTCTGAGCAATGGAATTATATTTCAGTCTTTCTCAAATTTGCAATTAATTACACTTCACCTGATGCCTTGTATTAACTTGAAATGATTTGTTATGAACTTTGAATGTAAAATAATATGATGTATCGTACAGATGTTTGATTGTATACACTGGTACACGGGTGTAGTAAAAAAATCATCATTATGTTGCCTGTGATGACAGTTTAATAGCTCATTTTCAATGAAAAGCAACTAGGAAATATTCCTCATTGCATTACATGCATTTCATCAATCAACTGTGCAGATTCTTTTTATGATGTACATAATGTGGTTGATCTCTTAGCATTACTACGATATAAACCCTATCATCTCACATGCTTTCAGCGTTTGTCATACATGAATAACGTACCCTTTTTTCTAGCAGAAAATAAATATTTTTTTTATGAAAAGGGTACCTGTAATTGATATAGAATGTAATGTTGAAGAGACCAAGTTACTCTTTTGAAACTGGGTGAGTCATTTGGGTGAAGAAAACTATGAGAGATGTATATTCATGTTGGATAACTTGTATATGTTTGAATCGTCTATTATAAGTCATGTAAAAAAGAGTGCTTTTTATCTACCGTATACCAAATTTGATTTGAATCAGTATTATGGATCATCTTTCAAATGCATATGTTTTGTCTTTCATTTACATGTAGAATCTAGGGGTGGGTGCAAAATGCTCACACAGATGAAAGGTCCATAGTCTACCCAATACTGGTTTGAAGGATGGCTAAAAGTTGAGTTTCAGGAAAAGAGTTGGGCTGAGATCTGATGTCTCCCTTTGTGTTTAAAGTGACTTCTGCCCGTGTTGGATTTAACTGAATTTGTAGAATTCTGGCAAAAGTGTTTCTAAATTGCATTGTGTAATTGGTACAGCTTTTCTGAATATATCCCACCCGATGCATTTAATGTTTTTATTCTGTTACTGTTTAACGTTAAAAAAAAAAGACTTGCATGGAAATTCATGGAGCGTAAGTATGTTTTATTTGTACAGTATGCAACAAAATTTGAGAACATGCACTTGCAAATGATCTTTCTCTCTGGAAATTAGATGAGGTGCTCGGGGAAAGAAAAGAAGAGGGAAATGTTACGAGTAGTTCAATCTACAAGTGTTTCACAAGTCTTATATCATAGAATTAAACGATTCTGGAATGAAAATGTGTGACCTAGTTTCTTTTGAAGAGGATGAATTTGAGGGCACGTCAGAGGTTTGTTGGAGACTGTGTTAAACCTTGAAGTTTTATCGACTAGAAAGATTTAGATTGCAAGATGATTTTGTGATACGTCATGATGCCCATAGCATGATAGATGCCATCCACTTTCTTTGCGTTTGCCTTTTATCATTGTTAATTTATTTTCATTTTATATATACATATATACTCTGTCATGTAAATAGGTTCTATTGTTCATCTTCAGCATGCATTATAGATGAGAATGTTTTATTTTCAAGACAATTGTAAATATATTGAATGTATTGATAGAAAAAAAGAGCCTTTATTGAAAATTGCTACTTTTGTAAAGTATTCAGATAATAATTTGCTGTTTGGAGAGTGCTGTAATACATATTGAGTGATATTAAATGGTCTTTCAACATTGAATACATGAATATATCCTGTTTCTTTATTCAAGAATATAGATTTACAATCTGGGTCAGAGGTATGAGAAAGAGCTTAAAAAAACCAATTGTGAAATTGAAATCACAAATTGGAGGGTAAATAAGTGATGATATACTGTATACAAGTGATAGTCAAAGCTGCTCTAGTTAAAGATGAAGTTGAGTTCTGGTCATGCGATTGCATTGTGAAAGAAACAGTGTGGAATCGATCAGAAAAGGTTGATCATCTACATGTAGCATATAAAAATTTGTGTGTGTTGCAAGGTTCTGGAATCATCAAAATGATAAGAAATTTGGCCAAGTCTTGGTAAAGTTACAAACACTGTACACAGAAAGATGTATATGGGACTACACGAACACGTGGCGTAAAAAACCGGTCCCCGATTTTTACGATGTTACATGCATATCTAGAATATGAAGGCATTTGAAGAGCCATGCTTTTCAGGGAACGTGTCTTATCTGATGTTCTTCCACACTTGCATAATAAGAATGAGTAACGCTCACAAATTATTTTTCACCTCTTCCCAGAACTCAACCTTCTCTTTAAAGGACCTTGGCAATGACCACTTTTTGGAACAATTACACCAATTTTTAAAATACACAATGCACCCTTTCACGGTTAAGGCTGCCATTTTAATTTGCGAGTAAACATTGCGTCATCAATGTTTTCACTGCCTGTGCTGTGCGCTCACATCATATTGACAAAGGCGACATTTTAAATTACAACTTTGTTTACTTGTAATTTAAAAGGGCGCTGATGTCAGGGCATGCACACTGCCTAGTAATAAACAAGGCAATTTATAGAAACGTATTGCCCACTCTATTTCAGGTTTTCATCCTATTCACCCTTGAAGCTGTCAAAATCACTGTTTCAATATTTGACAATGAATTCACTTTATTAAGCATGAATTTCAAGATGGTGTATAATAATACATGTTGTAGCACTAAACCAACAATACAACAAAATGACAATACAAAGTCATTAATCGTCACAATGAATGCTTGTCATTTTAATTGGAAATCTCCACTACCCACACTATTGACATAGTGCTACATGAGTGCTACATCATTACAGTCACAACATAAGTACATTGTATGGTTTGTTTTTTGTTTAAAGCCGGTAAATGTCCTTTGGCAAGACATTGATCTACATTTGCCACTCTCCACCCAGGTGTTAAAATGGGTACCCGGTAGGATGCGAAAGCTAATGTGGTTTGATTAGCAAGTGGCGCTTGTAAAATGGCGACTGGCTGGAATGCTCCCCAGGGAGTGGAGAATGTGCATACCTTGTGTGCGGGTAAGCCTGAATCCGATGACCGGGGTAATAATAATATGTTGTAAAGCGCTGTGATACACATGTATGTCTGTAAGAGCGCTATATAAATGCCAATATTATTTATTATTATTATAATATCAACCATCTGCATATGGCAGAACATTGATTCTTACATAACTGTGTTAACCTGTTATGAAACACTTTATCAGTTAAAACAATGTAAACAATGTATGAGAAGAAATCTGATCTAAGGATTTAGAGCTTTATTTAAAACACAGCTGATTCCAAGGCTTACATTTTTTCATTCAAAGGGTTGCAGTTTGGAGGTCTAATCATGATCCATCTTTCATGACTCTATTCTGGTACAAAACGAAACCTATAAAATGATTAACGTAGAGAGTTCTTTATAGAGTTTTAATGATCATAACAGTTACTGCATGGCAGAAAAGAAACAAAATAGCTTATTCCAAATGTTCAGAAGTTCTTTCCAAAACATCAAGTCAGATGATAAGAATTTCAATTACTTGTCTGTGCACTTGCTTAGTATTGAGTTATATGTCTTGTGGTTAAGTCAATATTTCAGTCACCCACTTGCAAACGGTTGATGCTACCTCTTCAGCATTTAGTTTTAATATACACTCTGTACGTAATTCAATAGTACCAGGGGGGTGTTTCATAAAGCTGTTCGTAAAGTTACGTATGACTTTACGAATGACTTAAATATGAAGAGCTAAATGGGATTCTCAAATCCTTTAAATTGCATGAGCTAAAGTTGAAATATGCAGATGTAGATTAACCTTATTATTATTAAAAAAACATTTTAATGCAAAGTGTATTTTGGGCAACAATTAAATTGAGATTTCGGAAAATACAGTCACATTTTGTTAAAATGTTAAGAAAAACTTTGGGCATCTCATTTGGCTCTTCATATACAAGTCGTTCGTAAAGTCATGCGTAACTTTACAAACAGCTTTATGAAACACCCCCCCCCCCAGTTCTATTTAGCCTTTGGGTCATGCCTCAACATACCATGTAATGTGATCTCCAACGAAGAGGGATGATACATGACAGATATATTACATTTTATTAGCAATAAATATAAATTGCAGTTTAATATCTAGAATCAAGGTGATAAATCCAAGCTGGCTATTAATAAAACATCTTCTGAACAAACAAGCGACGAGTTCAAATAAAATGCCAGCATGCAACAATAAAAAGAAGCCCAGATAATGTATGATAGAGGTGATTGTAACTGCTTTTACTATCTTGGAGGTAAATTGACTGTAATAGTTTCCTTAAGCTACGAACCAAACAATGAAATTGTTGGGAGATTTAATATCACATACTGTGCAGTTGTTTTTAGAGATTTCTCTACATTTCAAGTCATAAAATCCCATCTTATTAAGTGTAACAAATATCAATGAATGGATCCTTCACTGATTATAGATAAGTTTTGTGATTAAAGTTAAAAACAGTACACACTCATTTTCATATTTTGGTTTGAATTGTGATGTTCAACCAAAATAACATTTTAGAATTTCAACTATTTTCTTGGTTTTCACTCACATGTAATATTTATTATACACAGCATTCTCATTTTATTTTACATTTTAATCTAGGATATTTACAATATACAGAAATTACAATTTTATTCATATATACATCACTATATACATTGAAAACTTAATCCTCTAAAAAGAAGATGAAAAGAAATTTGACAAGTACAAATTCATTCCATTTCTCAACATCTTCTTTCCTCTCAGTATAATAGAAATAAGATAAAATAATGACTATATCAAATAGTACAGGTACTAACAGTGTTAATACAGGAACATTACATTACTGCATTGAATATAAATGCAGAGCTGCCAACCTTGTGCGACCAAAAAAAGGAATTCAAAAAAACGACACACTTCCAATGCAGAAATGTTCATTCATCACGCTGTTTTTTCCATACAAGCAAGTAATTTTTTTGGTGGTTATTTTAATATTTTGGAATTATCAGCATTTCATTTTTTTGAGAATATTTTTCTCTTCAAGTATGTTTTAAAATTAGTTTTCTATTGAAAATGTGATCAAATTGCCATTTTAGGGCAGGTGTTTGACGTGCGGTATGTAAAAAAAAAAAGAAAAAAAAAAAGTATTTTATGAAGGAAAAACGTAATTCCGTAATTTGGAGGAAAAAACGGAATGGTTGGCAGCTCTGTAAATGGAATTAAACCACTGCCTGTGGGGGGAAAGGGTGGTTCTTTATGGGTGAGCATCTTTTGTCCAGGAATGGTTGTTCAACTTAGCATTTCACATGTTGTTACTTGTCCAAAACCTATTTCTCATATTTTTCCTGCCCATTTCATTCAAACAGTAATGTGTATTTGGTGTCACCTGTGCCTGCATGGAGGTGAAAGCAAACTGAATCACTGAAACCCTCAGGTCTCTCCTCCCGGTATAACTGATCGAGGGTGTGCAGGTGGACCACTACACCAGGGTTCCCCCCTGCTCTTAATAAACAAATAGTGCAGTGGGTTCTTAACATGCGATGGTGGTAACTCTCCTCTACATCGGGCCTCCATTAAACATCCTATCCTAGGGACATGTGCCCCTGTAAAGTCCATAACATGTCAAATCTTAAATATGTCATCAGATGCAGTACACAAGTAATTTCCATGAAAACAACACATTTATTGAAATCCTGCAATTAATTATAATGGTTTTACCATAAATAACAAAAACTTGTTAGTGATTTATGAGTGATTTAATATGGAAAGTTACAACTCTCTTCTGAGCTGCCTGTCATGGCAAAGTTTTCATTCTAAATTTAGGGAAAAGTAACTTTTCTTTCTTTTCTCAGTTTCTCTTCATGTAAACAGCGATGCTAGGCAACGTCTCACAAAACTGTTTCAAATAAAACTCCACCAACATCCCATGAACTGTGTGCTAATTTTATAACACATGTTTCAAAGGGATGTAGGTGAACTATGACCTTTGCGTGCCCAGAACTTGCCTACCATGACTGGTATATTTCATCGTCTCCTCCTCATCTTCCTCACATCCTACTTCATGGACGGGTTGCCTAGTTACCGATCGGTACCCTGTTATCCTTGGCCCATTTCTTCATGACTCGGATGATGTATTCCACCTGGGGATTCCCCGTGTTCCTCAAGATCTGCAGGATGTCTCGTAACGTCTCCCTGAGTTATAAAGAATTACAAAGTCAAGTGGATATCAACTCAAAGGTTTACACGGTATCGAATGTACTTTGGAAGAAATTGTGTTTTAGCTCCCTCCTACTTATGTTCATAATAATAATTATTTTACATACAGTGCTTCTATAGCACATGTCACTGATGTATCATCTCTGTGCACTTAAAGAAAGATAAAAAACAGGTGATGTATATTGCCAAATTGTATTATCCTTATTCCTTACTTTTATTAAATTGATGCAAATATTTAATACTGCATGAATTTCTCTATTATTATTAAAGAGGGTGAACAGATTTGTTTTGCACTGCACTACAAATTGTTGGACATACAAGCCTTTTGAAAGCAGAAGGGAAACTATTTTGGGGTAAAATATGATGAGATACTGTCCTTTCTGCCCTCAGCGGATAATACGTGACATCTAGCAAGGCAATCACTGAGCTTGATAGACTGAACTCACCGTGGTTCATGACCTGCTATGATCTGTTGAAAGACACCCACACAAGCACCTCTCTTGCCTTCCCAGTACTCTGGGTTAGGATCCAACCTTTCCAAGACGTCAAAGGCTTTGAAGGCGTAGTAGAACTGACCCATCTAGGTCAAGAAAAGATAAGAAATACAGAGATTATCATCATGTACTTCTCCAACCTGCATTGGTATAAGGAAACAGACAAATCTCACACAATGAAACGGTGATACTGGATGAAAATTGATCAAGATCTAGCAACAATCAAGCTACATGTAGGTGTAAAAGGTCTTGATCACATACTTCAATACCATTAAAATCAAATGTCATTACCCAAGACTTGAAACTTTTGGGGAAATATTCTATATATTCTATTCTATATTTTTCTACTTCGATACGTATAACTAGAAACATTTGTTTGCATTGAACTTTTGCAAGTGGTCTGGCTTCATGGTAGTCTGCAAGTATTGAACAAGGTTTTAATGGGCTGATACTACATGTACTCTAGAATAACACCCACACAGCAAGCAGACAGAATCTTCAAGACTAATTTGTTATCATATCATCATTAAATTCATGGATACAATTTAGTGAGATAGCAGATAGTAAGCAAATAATTACCGTTGGTGAAGGTGATGGGACAAACTATCACTTCCGAGGCGATCTGGATGTAGCTATCTTTCCGAAGCGAAGCTGAGGAAAGATAGTGTATACATTCTGATCGACGAGGAAGTGATAGTTTGCCATCGCCTGAAACCAAAAGGTGATTATTTGCTTTATATTCCACATCTAAAACAATTTAATTACAAAAAGAAAAAGACGTGTATGCATCTACAGAAAAGACACCTAGGCCCAAATTCACACCAAAAAAGTTTAAGTTTAACCCAACCACAATTGAGGGTATGGTGCGCGCATGTGTTTTCTTTAATTGCGCTCATTGGTAATGCGCGCTTAAGTACGCCTGTTTTTGCTTCTCCCATCAATGATGGGCGAACTATCTTTCATCACATGATTTACTTTTGACCAATCGTAGTGCAAGATTCTTAGTATGTGGGAAATAATGAAGTATATTACCTTATAGCAGTCATTGGCTATTAGCTGTAGAAGGCTAAATGAATCCCCAGATGTCTCCATCTTAAGATAGAGCTCCCAGGCTAGACGGGCCTTACGATTCATTATATCTATAATAAAAGGTTCAAAGGTTAAAAGAGATGAATAAGTATGATCTGTGTATTTAACATCATCACTTGTTTAGATGATATCTATCACATGTAACAAGAATTTGAGATATTGTTTCATAGTTATCATTTACTGAATAAGCGCTAAATGCATGTACTAGGTATAGTACAGTCAAAATAGGAAAAAACCAAGAACTAATTGCAACAGAAATGATTCCACTTGCATATAATCTGGAGTAGCCATGAAAACAACATACTCAAAGTTGACAAAAATTGAAGTGGTGGATCAGTGCCTAATTTGCATAAATTCAAAATGGCCGCCATGTCAGACCCTGGTAGACACACAAAACCTATTTCAGCCTATATCTCTAGATCTGTGACACATATAAAGCTAAACAAAGTGTCTTTACCAATGTTTGGGGGATCAAGGAACATGATTATAGCATTATCAGCAGCTAACAACTACTCCTTGACTCTTAATTTGCATAAATTTGCATAAAATTAACCCTTTTAAAGTAAAAATGGCTGCCATGTTGCATGTTTATAACTATTTCTCATCTGATACTTACAGAAAGTTGATTTTAGTGCCCTTATCCATGTTTAGGGGGTCAAGGAACATAATTATGGCATTATCGGCAGCTTAGAACTACTCCTTGACTCCAAGTATGCATAAATTTGCATATAATTAACCCCTTTTAAATTCTGAATAGCTGCCATTTGTTCATGTTTAAAACTATATCTCTAGATCTTATACACATAGAAAGCTAAACGAAGAGTCTTTACCAATGTTTTGGGGTCAAGGAACATGATAATAGCATTATAAGCAGCTTACAAATACTCCTTGACTCCTAATTTGCATAAATTTGCATAAAATTAACCCTTTTTAAAGTCAAAATGGCTGCCATGTTGCATGTTTATAACTATTTCTCATCTGATACTTACAGAAAGTTGATTTTAGTGCCCTTATCCATGTTTAGGGAGTCAAGGAACATAATTATGGCATTATCGGCAGCTTAGAACTACTCCTTGACTCCAAGTATGCATAAATTTGCATATAATTAACCCCTTTTAAATTCTGAATGGCTGCCATTTGTTCATGTTTAAAACTATTTCTCATCTGATACTTATAGATAGTTGATTTTAGTGCCCTTATCCATGTTTAAGGGGTCAGGGAACATGATTATATCATTATCAGCAGCTTAGAACTACTCCTTGACTCCTAGTTTGCATAAATTTGCATATAATTAACCCATTTTAAATTCTAAATTGCTACCATTTTTTCATGTTTAAAACTATATCTCTAGATCTGATACACATAGAAAGCTAAACGAAGTGTCTTTACCGATGTTTAGGGGGTCAAGGAACATGATTATAGCATTATCAGCAGCTTAGAACTACTCATTGACTCTTAGTTTGCATACATTTGCATATAATTAACCCTTTTTTATATAAAAGTCAAATTGGCTGCCATAATATGATGCATGTTTAAAACTATTTCTCATCTGATACTTATAGAACGTTAATTTTAGTGCCCTTATTCATGTTTAGGGGGTCAAGGAAAATAGCTTGGTAGAACTTAGGAATGTTTTTGTCTAACATTTTATAACCATAGTTACAGTTAAGCAGGAACAAACTACTGTTCTTTTAAAGATACAATTGAAGAATTTGAAACCATCCTTGTTTATCGGCTTCTTTTATTCTTTGAATCCAACACAATTTTTGTGCTCTGGCAGATGACTGGTCCATTCCAAATAAATAATCCAGTGGTTGCAAAAACAATTTTGATTTTGTCGAGTAACAGCAACAGGGCCAGACGGAATCTCTGCCAGAATGTTGAAGGAAACTGCCGATCAGATCTCCCCTGCGATCACCCTGCTTTTCCAAGCCTCCCTTCATCAAGGATGCGTTCCATCGATGTGGAAGAAGGCACTTGTAGTTCCCATCCACAAGAAGGGCTGCAAGTCATCCCCGGGTAACTACAGGCCGATTTCACTGACTGCGATCTTATGCAAGCTGTGTGAGTATGTTGTTCACTGTGCAGTTATCCACCACCTCATCCATCATGACATTCTATCTGACAATCAGCATGGCTTTCGGAAGCGCCGTTCTTGTGAGACACAACTGACCCTCACCATCCATGACCTTGCTAGAGGACTGGAAGACACGGGTCAGTATGATGTAATCGTACTAGACTTTGCTAAGGCCTTTGACAAGGTCTCTCACAAACGATTCCTTCTCAAAGCCAAACATTGTGGTATACACGGCCTTACTCTTCAGTGGATCGAGAACTTCCTGACTGGCCGTACCCAACAAGTCATACTGGAGGGCCAACTCAGCTCGGAAGCCAAGGTCACATCTGGCATACCCCAGGGTAGCGTCCTAGGTCCATTGTTATTTTTGATCTACATCAATGACCTACAAGATTGCATTAGGCATTCAACCACACGCTTTTATGCTGACGACTGTCTGCTCTACAAACCAATCAGATCGATCCAGGACTGTGACAAACTGCAAGAAGATCTAGACAGGCTCCAGGACTGGGAGAAGACGTGGAAGATGGAATTCCATCCCTCCAAGTGCCAGGTCTTGCGAGTGACCAACAAGAAGAAGCCACTCCTAGGCCAATACACCATCCATGGTCATCAGCTGGAGCAGGTCAACTCAACCAAGTACCTCGGGGTCCACATTGATCAGAAGCTGAACTTCAATGCCCATGTACATGGGCGTCAATCCAAATTAGACCGTGGAGTGGGGGGACACAAGTTCAGACAGGGCGGCGCCAGGTTATTTTGTTAGGGAGGCGAATGGGCTGCGCCACACAGGGGGGGGGGGATGTCTGAAGGGATGTGCCCCCTCAGAAGTTGAAGATTTTGTTTCAAATTTATGCTTAAATGGCTCGCTTTGGTGCATACTTTTTGCCAAATTAAAAAGAAAACAAGTCTTAAGTTCAATTAACGAGGAACAAGAACGCAGGGGGTGTCTGTTGGGGGGATGTGCCCCCCTCAGAAGTTAAAGATTTTTTTTTAAATTGATGGATAGATGGCTTGATTTGGGGCATAATTTTTGCCAAATTAAAGAGAAAACAGTCTTAAGATCAAATAACAGGAACAAGAATGCAAGGGGGTAGATGGATGAATTTGTCGTTTCCATTGAACAATCAGCCATAAGGTTTGGAAGATACAAGGGAGATTTTTTTTTCAGTTGGTGAAAAGATTTTTTGTCTTCATCGTAACCAATGTTTGTACTTCCGGTAATGTGAATGTAATATTAATGACGCTTCTTTTAATAAAATCTGATCGCCTGATTTTGCTTGATTTTTCTCAACACAGAGAGAAAGAGAGAAAGAGAGAACAAAAAAAAAATATTTAAACCCCAAATCATGGGGGGACATTTCACCACCTGAAAATTCGTGGGGGGGGGGGGGGGGGACGTGTCCCCCCCCCCCCGTCCCCCCAGGATTGACGCCCATGCCCATGTAGATGCCACAGTCAAGAAGGCTAACTCTGTCTGTGCCTTCCTGCGCCGTAACTTTCGACACTGCAACCACAAGATCAAGGAGGCTACGTATGTCACATACACTAGGCCCATAGTGGAGTATGCTGCAACAGCATGGGATCCACACACCCAAAGAAACATCAACAAGGTCGAAATGGTTCAATGCAGGAGTGCGTGGTATGTCTGTGGCGACTTCGATCGTACCAGCAGTGTTACATCTATGATGAAGAAAGTAAAATGGCCCTCGCTAGTTAGTAGATGTCTGCAAAGCCATCTTGCAATGCTGTATCGCATCCGCTTTGGTCTTGTTGACATTGAATGGCAACAATACCTTAAGGCAGCAACATCTGTAACAAGAGGTCACGGATTCCGCTTCGGAGCGACACTGTGCACTAGCCAAGCCTACATCATCTCCTTCTTCCCCAGAACTACCAAGGACTGGAACAACCTTCCAGTAGATCCAGCCTGCTCACTCTCCCTTGAGGCATTTAAGCACCCCTAACTGCCCCCACAGGATTAAAAGTTTTTACTTGCACCCTGTACATATATGCACAAGGATCCTGGCCAGCAGGCTCACACAGGCTCCTCACATACACACACAGTGCGCAATCTTCAAGGCCTTGAAGCAGCACTTTTCTTGGAAGAAATATAAATGTAAATGGTAGATACTTTTGCAAAATGGTTGAGACATTAAGAAGCACAACTTCTAATTCTTATTTTTATCCACAGGTTGCCAGATAATCAACCATAAACATTTGCACCTTACATCCAATGATTGATAAATGCATCATATTCTAATATGGATGCTCATTTGTTTTCATGATTTTCTTTCTACTTTGCAAATTAGTGTCATCAAGTTGTATTTGGTATAAATGCATAGGTCCTTATTTTAATCAGAAAGCATTCCTAGCAAACTGTTAAGAACCATTCTAATTTTCTGAACACTAGGTGAGCCTTGTCATTTTGCTTAAAGTAGATATTCATTGATTTTAAAAAATAACTTTATTTTCATCCACGTACAGTGATGAAAGAAACACAGACGGTTTTAACGTCGTGTCTCTTATCGTCAAAGCTGTAAGGGAGACAGAAATTAAAGTAGATATTCATTAATTCTAAAAACTTACTCTATTTTCATTATTGCAAAGTTGAAACTTTGATTCAACAATGATATCAAAATTCAATGCTTGGAAACATTCGAAGTACTGATTATTATAAATTTCAAAACGCTTAAATACAGCCCCGGAATAGCACCTGAAGAGTTCTCTGAACGCTGCTAAGATGTGTGAGATCACAGTATGGACATGATTTGCACAAGCAGACGATGTCCCATGACATCTCACACATGTTCAGTGCCTGTGTTTTCATCTTCTCTTGAGTTCTTTCTCTTACTTCACTACCTTCAGGCTAAATGTATAATCTATTGCCTCACTCTAAACCCCGCGCATGTTTTTATTTTGATGACAAATGCAGCGATACAAAACTAAAGGAATGTGTCGCTTGTAAACAAAATAAGACGCCATTGTATATTCAGCTGCACACACCGGGGTATTTTTCGGCGTTTCAAGAGGGAACAAATGCCGTCCTTAATATCATTCCGGGGGTTTTTCAATTTGAAAGTCTGGTTTCTTTGAGTGTTAATTAACCCATATCCTGTGTATTTACAAGCAAAAGATTTTAGTTATCAGAATCGGGTCATATCCCCTTTTGAATGGTTTGACTTGCCATTACATTTTTATACACTAAACTCATTATAATTGCTTTAAATCCATCACGCTATATGACTGAAGCTTATTTTTATATTTTTACATGGACGAATAAACGAATTGAATTGAAGTAAATGGTACAGTCAAGTTTGTTAACCAAAGAAAATGGTTAAAACACCAAACTTTAATGAGAAGTCCACCCTGATTAGAAGTTGGTTTTAACAGAAGCAGAAAAATTAAAGAAACAGATCAGTGAAGGTTTGAGCAAAATACAAGAAGAAATATTAAAGAAAATTATGATTTTTTAAAGTTGTAATCAAGCACACATAAATTGGCAACACCGTGACGTATATTGTGAGCTACTCTAAAGAAAGTATTAAATCATACATGCACCTTAATTATATAATCATTGCTCATATGTTCATTGACCCCTAAACATGAATAAGGGCACTTAAATCAACTTTCTATAAGTATCAGATGAGAAATAGTTTTAAACATGCAACGTATGCAGCCAATTTGACTTTGAAAAAGGGTTAATTATATGCAAATTTATGCAAATTAGGAGTCAAGGAGTAGTTCTAAGCTGCTGATAATGATATAATTATGTTCCTTGACCCCAAAAACATCAGTAAAGACACTTCGTTTAGCTTTCTATGTGTCTCAGATCTAGAGATATAGTTTTAAACATGAAAAACAGCCATTTAGAATTCAAAAGGGGTTAATTATATGCAAATTTATGCAAATAAGGAGTCAAGGAGTAATTCTAAGCTGCTGATAATGCTATAATTATGTTCCTTGACCCCCTAAACTTGTAAAAGGGCACTAAAATCAACTTTCTTTAAGTATCAGATGAGAAATACTTTTAAACATGCAACATGGCAGCCATTTTGACTTTAAAAAGGGTTAATTATATGCAAATTTATGCAAATTAGGAGTCAAGGAGTAATTGTAAGCTGATTATAATGCTATTATCATGTTCCTTGACCCCCTAAACATTGGTAAAGACTCTTCGTTTAGCTTTCTATGTGTATAAGATCTAGAGATATAGTTTTAAACATGAACAAATGGCAGCCATTCAGAATTTAAAAGGGGTTAATTATATGCAAATTTATGCATATTAGGAGTCAAGGAATAGTTCTAAGCTGCCGATAAAGCCATAATTATTTTTCCTTGACCCCCTAAACATGGATAAGGGCACTTAAATCAACTTTCTGTAAGTATCAGATGAGAAATAGTTTTAAACATGAAACATGGCAGCCATTTTGACTTTAAAAAGGGTTAATTTTATGCAAATTTATGCAAATTAAGAGTCAAGGAGTAGTTGTTAGCTGCTGATAATGCTATAATCATGTTTATTGACCCCCAAACATGTGTAAAGACACTTCGTTTAGCGTTCTATGTGTTTAAGATCTAGAGATATAGGCTAAAATAGGTTTTGTGTGTCTACCAGGGTCTGACATGGCGGCCATTTTGAATTTATGCAAATTAGGCACTGATCCACCACTTCAATTTTTGTCAACTTTGAGTATGTTGTTTTCATGGCTATTCCAGATTATATGCAAGTGGAATCGTTTCTGTTGCAATTAGTTCTAGGTTGACCCCTTTTTTTTCATATCTTGACCTGACTAGTACAGTAAGTACTGTACCTACTAAAAACTAACATTCTCCAGGCATAAGATGGTTAGGCAAAAGAAATGATTAAATGATGTAATTGTATCTGATATTGAAGTTTCTATGGTCTGCCGAATTCATACAGAGTTATCCTGTTTTTTTTCTTCCAGAAGGTAGTCAGAATGTTCTTATTTGATAAAGCTGACTACAGAGTGAGGCAGTTCTGATTAAATTACAATAGTATGCAGTATTGAAAGTTTACCATGGCCAACCCCCCCCCCCCCCCTCCCCTTCTCTCTCTCTCTCTTTCTCCATCCACAGGTAACAGGCATATAAGACAGGGTGGATTGAGAATTAAGGACTTGAAATATTGTTAAGATGAGAGAAAATGTTGCTAAGCTAGTGACTTCAATGCTAGATGTACAATTAAAAATAATCTGAAAGTTTGAGTGAAAACAAACTATTTATGATAAAATTTGGGAAAAATTGTCTTATCGATTCCTTAATTCCCCCAACTATATTATTACAATTTAATTACATTTTAGGTGAATGTAAATTGTCTCAAAGCCATGAATCTGCTCTATATACCATTCCAGACATTCAAGTGTTGAAAGATTTTTAAAAGCTTGTCTTATTTTTATGGAAACACGGTTGGGAAAATTTAAAAATGGTTGGGAGAATTTACTGTTAGAGGGTCACGGTGTTGCCCAGTGACGCCTTCAAAGAAAACCATAAATATCTTTGTAGTTTGGATACTTTTTCAGGATTTTTTGCATGTCAGAGGGTTATACAGTAGAAGGAATATAATAAGTAACATGTCATACACAAAAGAGGCAGTTTTTTCATCAACCTTCAAGAATGTTACTGAGCGACTTCAAGACTAATAATCATTACTCACAGCACTTAGCTAGCCAGCTGAGATAGACATAGTCTTGTTTGTGTCTGTCATTCTGAATCAGCATGAATATCTAGAAATAAGAGAAGAGAGAAAAGAGTTATGTCGTCATCCTCTTCAGATGCTCTGAAATTATGTATGCTGTTAGAAAACAGACGAGATAAGATACAAAGTGGTGACTACCGTTTTTTTTCATTAAAAACATTTTGAGCACAATTTTTTTTTTTTTTTTGGGGGGGGGGGGGGGTATTTGTATGATCAGAGCAGTGCCATTGATTAGGAAAGTTTGGCCAACCCGATTCGAGTTGGACACAATATGGCGACTACTCAGAGCTGCCAACCTTGGGCGACCAAAAAAAGGAATCATGATGGCAAAAAAAAGGAATTTCAAGCAAAAAAAAGGAATTAAAAAAAACGAAACTTCAACCATGCTCGACACACTTCTAATGCAGAAATGTTCATTCCTCATGCTGTTTTTTCCATACAAGCAGGTTTTTTTTGTTTTGGTTATTTTGGTATTATCGGCATTTCATTCTTTGTGAGAATATTTTTCTCTTCAAGCATGTTTTAAAACAAGTTTTCTATTGAATTTGTGATCAAACACCATTTAAGGGCAGTTGTTAGACGTATGTAAAAAAAAATTTAAAAAAATAAAAAAAAAATATAAAAAACGTATTTTATGAAGAAAAAACGTAATACCGTAATTGGGAGGAAAAAACAAGAGTAATTCCGGCAAAAACGGAATGGTTGGCAGCTCTGACTACTGCTTTGTTGGACAAGCACAAAACAAAAGAATATACGCCATGTTGTGACCTAGTGAAACCAAGTTGGCCAAACTCTGTGTATAGATGGCACTGGATCAGAGTAGAAATTTTGTATTTAATTTTTTTTTCATAAATTGCTCCTAAATAACAGCCTGCTTGTTCTAAATTTAAGTTTCCTCCGAGTCACTTGCACAAAACACTTGAAAATACATTAAAAATTGTCTTAGTGGCCACCTCTCTACAAAGGCCATCTGTTTATTGTTGCTATCACAATTCGATCGACTTTAAAGATGAAGTTGAGTTCTGGTCATGCGATTGCATTGTGAAAGAAACGGTGTGGAATTGACCAGAAAGTATTAGTGTGTATTGCAAGGTTCTGGAATCATCAAAATGATAAGAAATTTGGCCAAGTCTTGATAAAGTTACAAGCACTGTACACAGAAAGATGTATATAGGACTACACAAACACCTGGCGTAAAAATCTGTCCCGATTTTTACGATGTTACATGACATATTTAAAATATGAAGGCATTTGAAGAGCCATGCTTTTCGGGGAACATTCGTTATCTGATGTTCTTCCACACTTGCATAATAGCAATGATAACGCTCACAAATCACTTTTCACCTCTTCCCAGAACTCAACCTTCTCTTTAAATAAAACTCCTTTCTTCTCCAGCACAAATGTCCTAATATTACAGTATCATACCACGTTGTTATTTTAATTCAAAGAAGTTGAAATAAAGTTCTGTGTACCGTACCTCTTCTGCTTCTTTGTAGTTGCCTGCCATGGCCTTGGCCTGAGCGTAGTTAAAGTTGAAGTTGTCATCGTTATAGAAGTAGCTCTGTCATGAATGAAAAATGAGAGATAATATAACTCTCTTATTTACCATAATTCTTTCATGTCAGTGTAAATAGGGATTCATTTTACTACAAGATCGGCATAATACAGTAGAACCCTGTTCATTAGAACATGCAAAATGTGTTTACCTGATGATTAGTACAATGAAGAATATTTCATTATCCTTTGTAGGATTCTCCTGTCCTTCTTTCCATGGCTGAAGTTTTGGGATAATTTAATTTCTCATAAAGTTGGATTAAATAAAATTGCATCACTTTTTTTTTTAATGAATCCATATTCACAACATACTAGTCCTTTAATTTCCCTTCACTCTCTCACAACATTTTTGTGCATACATTGTTTTTAAAAAAAGAAGAGAGTTTGAATAACAAAGATCAAGTCCATTAAATCTCAATCTAACTCGATCAATCTTTTTTTCACTAAAAATACATCTACAGAGACCTCATAAAGTCATCTATCTTACCTTGATTGAATTGAGATATATGAGGACATCGTCAAATTGTTTGAGGATGAAGAAACAAGATGCCATGCATTGTCTTCCAGGAATCGTATCTGATGAAGAATAAAAAACATTCATTTAAAAAAAAACATGAGGACGATGACATGAAACACTGTTGGACAAGGGCTTTACCTGGTAAAGTGATTAAAGCAACTCAATCTATTCAAAAGTACAAAGAACTGGGAATACTGACAAAGCGGATGCAGTTTGAAATACACAAGTCACTGCAAGGGGTAATAATTATTCAAACAGTTACCAGGCCAAACAATACAAGAAATGAAAGAAAATACCTTTCATGTTCAATAAAAAATTCCTTTGTAGAACTGTATGGTGCACAAATCGCCTGAATTAGGCATCCTAGAGCTGTGGTAAAACTTCAGCGCAAATGAAAATATCCAGTATTGTTATTCCTATTATTGTAATTGAAATCCAACCTTCTTGGTTGCAATAAATAAATAAATAAAAATTAAAAACATTAAATCTGCCTAGCATACTAACCACATTCACTAGCTGATCCACCTACTAGCTGAAAGTATTGCTGTGCTATCTTCAGATGTTCTCTCTGTCAACAAATCAAACATCAAAACAAATAATTCATTGCTACAGCCTACAAACGGTTGAGACTGTTAGGCTTCTCTTGTATGAAGCAAGCTCACAATGGACATACCGGTAATGGTTACAATTTCACCAGGGAAATTACAAATGACAATTGAAATTACAGTGTAGTTCAATCATCAAGTACAGTGAAACCTGTCTATAAAGACCACCCAAGGGAGACAAGAAAAGTGGTCTTCATAGGCAGGTGGTCTTTGTAGACAGGTTCCTTTAGTGTATGTTTCAATGAGAAACCATATTCAGGGGAAAAAAACATGTGGACTTTGTGGTCACTAAAGCAGGTTTGACTGTATATGTATTTGAATTCTAAAATCTAAAATTCCAGGAAATGCTATTGTGCTACAGTATCATAACAAAGCCAAAGGCTGTAGTAAATCATCATTGCGAGTTACTGTTTCCCAATATCTAGCCCAAAAGCTACACCGTTTGACTGTGTCAGGTCCCTCTGCATGTGTTGTGTTACTATTGGAGTATGCTCTGCTTGCTTCAGTCACATATAAAAGCTTACTATGTTAGATTATTCATACAGACCAGGGACCTGTTTCACAAAGCTCTTTTTCAATGAAAAATGACAAAAATCAGTGACACATTTGCTGATAACCAATCAGAAGCAAGGATTTCAGTAGCTTTTAACAAAAACTGTCATCTGTCACTGATGACAAGTTTTGTGAAACAGGTCCCAGTATGAATATAAACAAAAACTAGATAGGACACATCTCAAGGGGGAAAGCATGCTCCGGGGCATCTTGGAAGGGAAGATGGATGGTGAGCAGGGAAGAAGAAGACCAATACTTGGGATGGTGTCAGACTTGGAAGGTGACAGATCATATGACATACCGGTAATGAAAAAGAAAGCTAAAGATCGATAGAGAGGGATGGAGAAAGAACTTAAGAAGGCTCTGGTGTGTGGACCTGGCTTTGACAGCACACCTGAGAAAAGACCCGTTGAAACTTTGGCATATGATATAAAGACCGGACTATCTTACCGATCCTTGCTCTTGTCCCAGAGCAGCATTGACTACTCCTTTGAGGATGTATTCCTGGGGTGTGGTCGGGTCCAGATTCTTGATCAGGTTATAAGCTTCGTTCACATCATCTGTATCAAACAATTCAATTGTTGACAAATAAAACGTGAAGATGTATAAATCAAGTAAAGAAATATGTAGATTAACAATTAGGTTATAAGCTTCGTTCACATCATCTGTATCAAACAATTCAATTGTTGACAAATAAAACGTGAAGATGTATAAATCAAGTAAAGAAATATGTAGATTAACAATTTGGTTATAAGCTTCGTTCACATCATCTGTATCAAACGATTCAATTGTTGACAAATAAAACGTGAAGATGTATAAATCAAGTAAAGAAATATGTAGATTAACAATTAGGTTATAAGCTTCGTTCACATCATCTATATCAAACGATTCAATTGTTGACAAATAAAACATGAAGATGTATAAATTAAGTAATACAAATGCATTTTTAAATGCATGATTTTAAAAATGCCTGTTAGTGAATGACAGCATGCTATACCTTGCTTGAGATAATAGATGACCAAGTTTAGCCTCGCTTCTGGGATGACGTCGATGAGTGGAGGAAGAATCTGGAGGGCTCCCTCTCCAGCCCTGAAGACAACAAGGTTGTGTTTGATGAGATCTTGAGCAAATGTAAATGAGGGCGAGGCCAGGTCCTGTAGGTTCTTCAGCTCAGCCTTGAGAGAAGAAAACAAACGAAAGGAGTTGTGAAATTTAGATTTAAAGTGAAAAAGTATATGTTTGCACATCAAGAGATTTTGAATGATGATGTACCGGTATGGCTGTGTGAATTAGTTTATATTACCACTTTACTTTTTCTACAATAAAAGAATTGCAGTACACTTGAACTGATTCCTCCTAAAGCCAATCAAGGAAGTTCATAATCTTCTTGCAAAAATAAATATATTACATTTGATTATAGTATATATTTTTCATGTATACTTGCAGCACCTTAAGCATTTTGCAAAATAGATATACAAATACTCATTATTATTATTATTATCATTATCATTATTATCATTAGAATGATCTAATTAACATTTTTATAACTATTTTGAAAGTACAAGAAGTCCATGTTAACAAAGAATAGCATCACCATTCACAACCTTGAAGTGCAATATGTGTATAGGTCAAACTGGAAGTCAGCTTGAATTTTGTTTTAAACAAAACAAACAAAATACTAATGGACTATTCCTTACCTCAGCAGCCTTTCCATTATAGAGCCTGAAGTGATTGCAAGCCTTGAGATTGAGGGCTATAGCGCTGTCTGAGTAGTTCTGTAGATAAACAGCTAATACCTCCTGGGATACATCATAGTAATCTAGCTTGTAGTAACACAGCGCTACATACACATTCAAGGCCAGGTACTCCCTGTACAACAAACAAACAAATACAAATGAAAAAAAATAAAAGGCTCTTTTCTTGTGTGTCAGAGTACCAGAAAACACTGAAAAAAGATACAAACACACACACACACCCTCACAAACACAGCTTTTGGCTTTTAAAAGTAATGCAAAGTTTCTGGAAATTTTGAAAATTGAATTGATAGTATTTCTTTAAAATGTTGATATATTTGGTACCCCTGTGGATGTATTATAAGCACTAGAAAATTTAGCCCCTAAAACACTTCTACTTTCGAGAAATTGAATAATAAAAAAATTCCCGTTGCTCCTGGTAAATTTCATATATTTCAAATAGCCCCTAAGGCCATTCCATTGTAGCTGCGAACATGAAAATTGCAAATCGGTTGATTGTAGTCAAGAAACATTGTTTTAGAGCTAAAGTAATATCAGTCTTGAGAGGGCGCTATACAACATAAAGAGTTTATCATTTACAATGTCATTACTTTAGACTCGATTTCAACCGGGACAACGATAATTGAGTATTGTAAAATCGCATAGGCTTCCAATATGTTCATTTGAACCAAATTCATGACCCCTTACCAAAACTTTGTAATACCTTTAATTAGCTCTCTTATACCGTGTGAGTCAAAAAAAAGTTTACACCTAGAAAATTGCTAATTATTTTAAAATTCATCTATGAACAGTAAATTATTATACATCTTATGAAAGAGTGTTTCATCTCAAATCATTTGGTATCATTTTTGTGTTGTATGTGTTCACACTTGGATGAACAGGAAGCATTGTTTGCGAAAGTGCAAAATTCGACTTGCGCCAAAGTGATGCGTACAGTATGTGTTATGTTGGGATTAAAGTGAGAGAATGAATTAAATGTATCAAAATGAAATACATTGCATATGCTTTTTGCAAAGGGCAAAGTCACACCACCCACACACACGCGCACAAATGTTCGTTGATATTTGATGCATGATTAATTTTGTTAGGGATGTTATTTGGATCTGCAAAGACCGAATAAATACCCAAATCCAAATTGTTTTATTCAAACATCACATAAGCAACTTTGGCGCAAGTCGATTTTTGCACTCTCTCAAACAATGCCTCGTGTTCATCCAAGCGTGAACACATACCATACAAAAATGGTACCTAAAGTGTTTGGGATAAAACACTCTTTCATAAGATGTATAATAATTCACTGTTCATAGATGATTTTTTAAATAATTAGTCTACCCGGTAAGTGTAAACTTTTTTTTGACTCACTCTGTATATCAAGTAATAATGCAGTCAAGAAGTTACTAGATTCTATGTTTATAACACAGTTCTATTGTAATCATGCCAAAAGAAGATTTAAAAAAGTTGAACCGTCAAACGAACTCAGGGCCGACTCTAAACTGGCCAATTCTTGACCATGGGGAATTTAAAATGTTAGTTTAGTCTGATGTCTGTGTGAATTGGCTTTCAGAAAAGTAGAAAAACCTTTTTTCCTTATAATTTTGCAATAAAATTTTGACTTCATGAGCAGTGACATTAAAATGCATGACATTACCTTCATCAAAAATATTCTTAAATGCTACTAGCCTTTAGAACCAGTCTCTTACCGATTATCAAGGAGAATGCGTTTGTAGATATCAATGGCTTCTTGGTAGTGGCTTCTGAGATAGTGAATAGAGGCAAGACTAAGTTGATCCTCAATGATATCTTGTAAGGACTGATGGTAGTTCATCAGTCGATTCTCATCATTAAACTGCAAGAAAGCACATAATTTAGGTACAGTAGTTGATACAATATTTTTTTTAAATTCTTGACAGACAAAATACACCTTTTTTTTCTCCATGACAGAAACAAAGAAACAGATTGATGTAGGTTTGAAAGGAGTTGGACAAATGAACAAAACTTGTGTTTGAAGGCATACCGGTAGACGACTAAGTATATATCTTGCATCTTCAATTGGTGAGTTGGTCAATAATTGTGACTACATTGTGGACATATCTCATTTTACTTTCTTTAAATTGATTTATTAGTACTTATTTCTTGCTGATGTTCACTAAATTCACATTGATGTTTATCACTTGTAGCAACAACTAGTATACAATGCTCAGATGGCTAAGATACATGTATGTACCCTATCTGAGACAAGGACATTAAACCTTATTATACAACTCACTCACAGATCCTAATCAAACGATTAGTCATATGCGGTCACGTGTGATTCATTTACTGAGACTATCCCACGTTTTTCATGAAAAAGCGTGCAATAGTTTCCAGTACTATCACACGTTTTATTAGTGCATGTACATGATGCGCAGTAGTGCGCATAGAAATTAGCGCTTACCGTATACTGTGTGTGCATGGGCCTATTCTTGTACAGTACTATGCGTAAATGGGTATAGAGGTAAGTGCGCTTACTATATCTATGTATGTGCACTAAATTGAGCCTATTAAACTTGAGATTGATTTGTCAGCCAAATATACTGTCACAAAACAATCTTGAATGAAATCTTTTTACATCAAATAACATAGATCTAGGAGTTTTGTAGTATAAAACAAATGATGCATGTTTTCATTCGTTCATTATACGACCTATCCGCCTACGTTGAGGATGTGTGTATCTATCGCATTCAGCCTAAAGGCTTCGTACGATAGATACACACACGCAGCCTCAATTTGAGTGCGGATAGATCGTATATTAAATGAACTCATGCGCATGCATCATATGTATAATATGATAAGTGGTTGTCTTACCTTCTGTGATAGATGAAAGAGAAGCCTGTTTTGCAGTCCACTCTTGGGTCCTGTATAGGACCAAAAACAAAGTGAAATACAACCATTAAGAAATGAAAAGCAAATCTGGAGTTTGTGCATTCAAGGGGTCACTCTCTCTCTTGAATCCAACAAAATGCTTAATCGGATGAAATCAACAAATATGTTTTCTCCATAGAAACTCACTCCACTTTGTTTCTAAGATATCACATAGAAGAAATAGATAATAATTGGTTTAATTCAAGACATATGTGCTCTCACAAACACTGTTATTGCATCAAAATTCTGTTAGAAATATTTGTTGGTCTAAAACTAAAACCTGTAAATTTGCATCCTTTAAAAGTACTAAATTGTATGTCCCATTTGCAGGCCAAAAAATTGAAAAGGTTAAATTCCTACGGCATTTGAAAGACAATACTAATTTAGAATTTCCCTCAAAACAAAAGGGCTTGAAAATGGCTTTTAGTGGGGGAAAAACGACCATTAGTTGTTGAATCGACTTAAGTGATTGCATTCACCTAAATAATAGTTTGATTTTCAGACCCCTTTACCTTTTGCATTTTGTGCTGCACCGTGACAAAAATCCAATCAGTTTAATTTTGGCCATTCCAAGTAGTGGGTTATTGATGTAGACAAATACTCATGTACCTGTTACAGCTAATTATATGTATGTTATTACCAAAGATAAAGGATGTCAGTCAGTTTAAATTCCCAACTAGTGTCTGACAGTGAAGTCTAGAAGGTAAACAGTTTCCTTGCATAGTTTGAATACTAGGACACTGCTAATGTTGAAATTTCCCAGATAGGACATACATGACACATTCGTAATTACTGCAAAGTTCTACAGAATTTGATGTTGTCTGCAAAAGGGACAGAGTATCTTTAAGGGTTATAAAAGTTTTGAATGTGAAGAATAGGATTTCTAACAAGATTTGGTATTTTACAAAGTCATTCTAGCCGTAGTTTGACTATCAATCATAGCTTTCATTTCCGTCCTCCAGGGGGGTGTTTCACAAAACTTGTCATCAGTGACAAATGATAGTTTCTGTTATAAGCTAGTGAAATCCTTGCTTCTGATTGGTTATCTGCAGAGTTGTCACTGACTTTTGTCATTTGTCGTTGAAAAAAGGCTTTGTGAAACACCCCCCCCCCCCAGGTCAGACCCTAGCTCTCCGGTGTCAACCTCTCTCAACAACTCTCATCCTTGATGAGTAAGTTCACTAAAATACGTCGTAGGATTCGACTCAAACGGCTCATTCACACACCACACTGTAAACTGCTCATGATGATGTTAGTGAAAACGTGTCATATTTCTGTATGTTATAACACATAAATAGCAGGTACACCAATTAAGGAACTTAATTGCGAGCAGCTCCTTTCTTCATCCCCACTTGCCACTCATTCTTTCAAGCAGCATACAACCTTCTGCAGTATCCAGGGTCATTAGAAACCTACCTTTATTGACTGCTTCATCGGCCTGTGGGTACATTCCAAGGAAGAAGTAGCAGCAAGCTAGGTTGACCCAGACTTCCGGATTACAAGTTTCCTTCTTGGATAGCTTCTCATACTCCTCCATTGCTTGTTTGTGATCACCGAGGTGAAAGAGACAGAAGGCCAGCCACATGTCTGTCTCATCGGAACCCTTGCCGCTATGGCGAGTGAACTGTGGAGAACAAGGTGCAAAATGAAAAAAGAAATGAAAAAAGATGAAAAATCGTATTTTAAGATTTTAAGATTGTATTTCACTCTTATTATCGTACTAAATACAATTTAATCGTACTGGTTGGCATCTCTGCATAACTATTGTATAAAGGGACTATTTACATGTATATAGATTTGGATTTTATGGCTTCATTATATTTTCAGAAATTTTGAAGGAAGGTCTTCAGGATGAATTAACATCAACATAAACTCGTTTATGGAAAACAAATAACAAAGACACACTGAAATAACACTTTCTTTAATCTTGAGCTATTTTGCACTGAAAAAAGAAATCTGACTATAAACTGTAATATTCAAGGGAGGACAAATGAAATTTACAAATTTATGATGTCAGGCAGATCATCCTTGGAGCTTTTACAGCTAATAGGCCCATTTAAAATCTCTAGTTTTGGCAATGTATTTCTAGTTCCTGTTCATAGTTTCACAGTGACATACACCAAACATATTTTGTTTTGCTTTTTCATCCCTCTGTGAGAAAATCAATAAAACTTTGCTGCATGTTTACCTCTAATAATGTACAAGCCCCTGTGTAGTCTCTGAGATCCAGGAGTTCTGTGAGTTTTGGCATCTGTTTCTTCTTCTTACTCTCCTGTGCTGGTGTGGAGGAGCCTGGCCCAGTGGCCGGCTTTTGCCTTGAGAGCATCTACAAGTGGAAAGACAGAAAAATCAAACAAGCATTGCTAGTGATCCTTGTTTTTTTCATGACGTACTTGGCATAACCTGTGTCTGGGATGGGAGAATTAAAATTCATCACCATGCCCCTCTGGTCTCTTAATTCTCCCAGTATAACTGATTGGGATGTGCAGGTTGACCACTAGACCAGAGTTTCCTCCTAGACCTACTCTATATACGAATAGTTCAGTGGGTTAACATGCATGCCCAAAACTTGGCAAAGGTTAAAAGTTTTTAAAAATGTGGCTTTGAATTTTATATATCTGTTTATGAATTAACAATATAAAAGGCAAACATTTTACGATGGTTGGTGCTAATTAATTTCATACATCTTTTACGTGAAATCCAAAGCCAAAGGCAAATGTGACAGCTTTCTTTTATTTTTCTAAATGTCCAGCGTATCAAGTTAGAATTATCATGATTCATATTAATCATTTTGTTAATAATTTCTCTCCGACTCTGTCTCTGCTGCACAGCAGGTTTTAAACATAAAAAATACTTTTTTCTATTATTTAATTAATTTAATTATTTAATAAAATTACAGGCCTCACTATGGTATATTTATTAAAGATCTGTACCGCATCCTAGGCTGAACTGTTCAATTTTTTTACAAATAAAAAACAAATGCATTCCGGTATAACATTAACAATACATAACAATATATCAATTATAAGGAATAAAAGAACGATACACGATTTGGCATGGTAAATTTGAATAATAAATAGGGTCTATAGTATGATTAATAATATAAAGTTAATATAATCCAAAACTACTACTTGACTCATTTTCTGTTCAAAGGAAAAGAAAGAATAAAAAAGCAAAGGTAGATGTCACAGAGAAGAGAAGGACGGTATATGAGTAAGAAATACATGCAAAAAGTAAGTAAAAGAACAGTAATTTGGAAAGACCAATGTGACAAAGAGAAGGTAGAGTCTAGAGTAGGGTGTCTGATCGCGTACCCAATTTTTCGTCCTAAAATCCTTCCCATAGAGATTTCATGCATCCCTATGCAGTCTATGTGCATTGCGTGACCATGCAAAATTGGTCAACGTTTAAAAAAAAATAGAGATTCAAACCATTACCGGTATTTGTTGTGATCCTGAAGGTGATACTCAATAAATGAGGTGTCATATGAAAGAGCAGAATAATACCAATATTTCCAAAAGGGAGTCATTTCGGATTTCTAAAAATATCTTGGTCAAAACAGCGATTGAAATGTTGTTTGCATCCCAACTCCGATATTTGCCATTTTAAGAACCGACACCCCGACCGCAAAGTAGTCCCATTCGTAAGAATTATTTCAGTGCGCTTATGTTATAACGTCATTACGAACTTGTGGCTCGTGCACAGTTTTTCCTTCATAATCATTTTGCCTTCGGCGTAGACTAGAAGGAATGAGATTTAGATGACGTCATGCGAAGCGAGAGTTAAAATACGACTTGCATGATTTTCAACATGGATGTCCATTTTGACCCATAATTTCCTGAAAATGGACCATTAAACGAAAGAGACAGAAAAATTCAGTCTAAAGTAGCGCATGCAGCTAAGCAACACGCATACGCGTGCGCTTGCATATTGCGCAATGCAATTCATTTTTTTGCTAAATTTAGCAAAAAATATAACTCTGCGTTTACGTCTTTTTCGTTGATTCTGACAAAAAATGGATGAATATTGTAGAATTTTTGAGGGGTTGTATCTTTTGATGATAGAAACATCGGTGAGTCTTGAAATTATTCTGATAACATTTTGTATTCAAATATCCAACCATAAATGGTGAAAAACGATCCCAAATTGAAAATTGACAAATCGTTCAGACACCCTATCTAGAGTCTTAGTTAGAGACTAGACGGGGATCTAGATCTAGACTAGATCTAAGTTTAAAAAAGACAAAGTTTAATCCTGCAATTAGTCTAGGGTCTAGCCTAGACTAGATCTAGAGTCTAGAACTAAAAGATGTGACTTGCCTACTGACAATTTGAAATAAACTTATATAGACTGTCTTGAGCTCTTTCCTTTTAACAGGCCTAGGCTAGTCTATATCATCTAGAAAAGTAGAATAGAGATAATAATAGGGTGTCTGAATGATTTGTCAATTTTCAATTTGGGATCGTTTTTCACCATTTTTGTTGGATATTTGAATAAAAAATGTAATCAGAATAATACATTTCAAATTTCGAGACTCACCGATTTTTCTATCAAAAGATACAGCCCCTCAAAAACTCTGCAATATTCATAGCATTTTGGTCAGAATGGACAAAAAAGTGGTTCACGCGGAGTTATCATTTTTTGCTCAACAGCTGCATTTTAATGCATTAGGCTATATGCAAAAAGTGGGGGAAGGGTATTTTCAAACTTAAATCCCTTGATCCCTTGGGGCTTGCGAAAAAAAAAGAACATCAACGTATTTCTTACGACTTGAACTAATTATCCCGCGGGGGGGTCGATTCTCAAAAGTTTGAAATCTCCCGAGTTGCCATGGAAACACATTTAAATCGCTGTTTTGACCAAGACATATTTAGAAATTTGAAATGACCCCCCTTTGGAAATATGGGAATTAATCTGCCCTTTCATATGACACCTCATTTATTAAGTATCACCTTCAGGATCACAACAGATTAAGGTTTGAATCTAAATTTATTTTTAAAATTTGACCAATTTTGCAATGCACATGGGGTAAGAGTGCCCAGTATTTGGTCACTTAAGAAATCGCTAATATTTTGAATTCTTACCTCTTTTATTTGGCAATCTACCCATCAAAAGAAAAGTAATTTATTCCTCTAACAGGATTTTATAGTCACTTAAAATATAGAATAATGATAAGCAAAATACTTCCAAAAGTAGGGTGTGTGATCGCGCACCCGATGTTGTGTGCTAAAATTCTTCCCATAGAGATTGCATGCATCCCTATGCAGTCTCCGTGCATTGCGCGACCATGCAAAATTGGTCAAATGTTGTTTTTTCAAATCGAGATTCAAACCTTTATTTTTTGTGATCCTGAAGGTGATACTCAATAAATGAGGTGTCATATGAAAGAGCAGGTGAATCCCCATATTTCCAAAGGGGCTGCATCTCAGAATTCTAAAAATATCTTGGTCAAAACAGCGATTTAAACATTGTGTCCTGGCTAACTCTGAGGTTGGACACTTTTGAGATATGCAGCCCCGATCGATAAGTAGTCCCAGTCCTAAGGAATATATCTATGCTTTTGTTTTTTCGCTAGCCCCCAGGGATCACAAAGGATTACAGTTTAAAAATACCCTTCCACCTATATGTTGGATCAGCTAATTAGGGAGGTGTGCGCTCTGCTCAGTCCAAACCATGGTTACATCGCGTAACACATCAACGCGTACGAACGAAACCCACATTATAGTGAATGAAAGTATGGCTAGCCAATGGCAAACATCGCGGAGACAACGTGGCTCAAGCTGTAAGTTGCGCATAACATGCGTACGCTATGCATACGCTTGCATATCGCGCGATACAGCTATTTGGCTGAATTTAGCAAAACAACATAACTCTGCGTGTACGTCTTTTTCGTCGATTCTGATAAAAATGATATGAATATTCCAGCGTTTTATAAGGGCTGTATCTTTTGATTGAAACATCAGTGAGACTTGAACATTTGAAATGTATTATTCTGATTACATTTTTTATTCAAATATCCAACAAAAACGGTGAAAAACGATCCCAAATTGAAAATTGAAAAATCCTTCAGACACCCTACCAAAAGAAGTCGGAGCATTTTTCTGCCCAGAATTCGGTCGCGCCAAATAGAATTCGGTCACGCTGTTGTGCGTGGTATCTCCGTGATAAGGAGCGAAGCGTATTTGCGCACTATTTTCACACAGTTGCGCGATAAAGCACTGAATGTCAATGCGTTGACCGAATACTGGCCGAGCAATACTGCATGGCAAGGGTATCGTATAAATACCTCTTGCACATCGGCAAGTACGTCATTTGCAAATTCGCTGCGATTGGAGCGAACACGGAGGAGCTACTCTTCACACACATACTAGATTCATTGCGACAGCACACGTAGTTGTTTCGCAATAGACTTCTACATATGGCTATGCATGTTAGCGCATGTGCTAAGAGAACGCGGAAGTGCAGAAAGTTGAGCGACACTGACCAATATCGAGCTAAGTTGGAGGTCTTTCCGGGGCCCTAAATCTGATTTAATTTTGAGAGTTAAGAAAAGTTGTTCAGGTGCCTGATTTGTGCAAGTTTCGTGGCTCATAAATTATTTTTTTAATTGTTACAGCTGTTGAAACGGCTGTCTGACCGAATACTGGGAATGAACCGAATACTGGGCGCGCTACCTTAGATCTAGATTTAGACTTAGGTCTAGACTAGTCTAGGGATAGGGTGTCTGAACGATTTTTCAATTTTCAATTTGGGATCGTTTTTCACCATTTTTGTTTGATATTTGAATAAAAGATGTTATCAGAATAATACATTTCAAATTTCAAGTCTCATCGATGTTTCTATCAAAAGTTACAGCCCCTCCAAAACGCTGGTATATTCATATCATTTTGGTCAAAATCGACGAAAAAGACGTCTACGCAGAGTGATGTTGTTTTGCTAAATTTAGCCAAACAGCTGTATCGCGCGATATGCAAGCGTATGCATATCGTACGCATGCTGCTAAGCCAATCCGCGACTTGCAGCTTGAGCTACGCTGTCTCCGCGACATGTGCCATTGACTAGTATGGTTGGCGTTCGTCGCACAATAAACCCGGAAGTGAATGCACGTTATAGTCAATGGCAATATCGCGGAGATGTCTCCGCGATATTGCCATTGACTATAACGTGTATTCACTTCCGGGTTCTATGCCGCGAATGGCCACCCATACTTGAATTTGGGGTTTCGTTCGTGCGCGGAGATGTTACGCGATGTAACCATGGTTTGGACTGAGCGGAGCGCACGCCCCCTAATTAGCTGATCCACCAAATAGCGAGAAGGGTATTTTTAAACTGTTATCAGTTGTGATCCCTGGGGGCTAGCGAAAATACAAGCACATAGAATTGTTCCTTAGGACTGGGACTACTTATCGATCGGGGCGTCATATCTCAAAAGTGACAAACCTCAGAGTTAGCCAGGACACAATGTTTCAATTGCTGTTTTGACCAAGATATTTTTAGAATTTCGGGGGCTACGCCCCTTTAGAAATATTGGAATTTACCTGCTCTTTCATATGACACCTCATTTATTGATTATCACCTTCAGGATCACAACAGATAAAGGTTTGAATCTCGAATTGAAAAAAAAAAATTGACTTTTTTTGCATGGTCGCGCAATGCACGTAGACTGCATAGGGATGCGTGTAATCTCTATGGGAAGAATTTTAGCACACAACATCGGGTGCGCGATCAGACACCCTACTAGGGATGTGTGCAATGTCTATGCATGGGAAGGGTTTTAGCACACAAAACGTGGTGCGCGATCAGACACCCTAATAATAAGCTTACCCCGATAACGGTTCAATAGTAGGCCCGTAAGGTTAAAAAAAGAAACATATCTTGACTGACAAAAAGTGACATGCACGTCATATCTTCGCACAGTACAGCCTCCCATTTTAGTTTTTACCATTAGACTTAGAGTAGCGAGCGATGCGCGAGTGATTCCGATTGAAACCAGAAATAGCGTCCAATGTTGCTAAGCCACCGCGGCCGCGCACCGTTGTTTCATATCATGATATCACTAGCCGATTAACTTACCATTTTGAAGAAATTTCGCTGCCTTTCTTGACGTCTGACCCTATACTGTAATAAAATATGAGTAGGAGATCGTTCCTATTTCATGTGTTGCTCTTCATCTCGAACATAAAATAATATTTTCAGGAGAATTCAATGAGCACCGCACCAGCTGACATCATTTTTGCGAAGAGCAGACACAGGAATGCGAACCGAATATGAACACTAGAGGGAGGCAAACACAACGGCGCGGCGATCGCGAATAGTAAAAAAAAAAAAAAAAAACAATAAAAAGAAACTAAAGATAATAAAATTAAAATAATAATAATCTATGTGTGTGTGTGTATGTGGGGCGGGGGTGGGGGGGGGGGGGGGTACTCTGTGTTCTTAACATAAAGCAACATCGAATTGGCCACCATGCACTGTCACTCTTTATTTTTGTCTGACAAAAGGAGTTCATTTTGTCTAAATAATAGGTGCTTGAGTTGGGGATATGAATTTAAGCGATATACTAATACATGCAAGAACAAGCCTTCTCCACCACCGACCTTACAAATAACCATTACAAAAAATCCTCCTAGAATCACTCATGTTGCCATAACTCCACAAACATAAAAAGTTACATTCCAAAAGTGACTTTTAAATAGCATTTTCACGTGATAATTTTTGTTGTATTTACTCATTTTCCCTGGTCAGTTATCATTTCTTTTTCTTCTTTTCTTTTTGCATATCTTACACCATTTTTATTATCGTTTTAAAACATCTCTCAGTATATAAATACAATTTTGTGAGTTTTAATTTCTCTGGATTTATAGTCTGTCATCCCTAGCTGGCATTGTTAGAATCTATATTTCATTCCCCTAGTCTGACCAGTGTACCCCCCCCCCCCCCCATACCAAGCTCCATCCATTATGTGCTCGCAGCCTGCATGGTCGTCATCCAGCCAACCATGCCACCAAGGGATGGATAACTACATTAAATTGGCTGGGTCGTTGACGAGTAGAGGTTGTCTATCCCGATCTGGAATTTGATCCGTTTTTATGGCTTCAGCGATATGGATACAGAGGGAGGAGGAGGATGGGCAGGGGTTTTCTTTCTTATTTTTCTTGTATCTTTACCCCCCCCCCCCCACCCTACTCCAAACACGCACGCACGCAATGAACACACTTACACAAAGCCCACGCATATCTTCTGTTCACCTCTTTTAATTCAATACCCAAATGCGGAGAGAGGGAAGAGAGAGAGAGAGAGAGAGAGAGAGAGAGAGAGGGGGGGGGGGGATAGAGGTGACAAATTTAAGACTTTCGTTGCCCTACCAGGACCAAAATCCAGTTCAAACCACTTGGAGCAAAACCAATTGAAACCAGTTACCAACTGGTTTTCTAATAGGGAAATTGGAACAACATTACTGGTTAAAAAGGGGCATTTATTAAAAAGGGATAGGTTCCTTATAAAAAATGAAAAAGGGGCACATATCAAGTTTAAAAGGCTAGTTATCAGAGGTGAAAAGGGGCACTTATGAGAATGAAAAAGGGGCACTAATGATAAAGGTAAATGTGCATTTGTAAAGGGGCACCGATCAGATTTTAATAGGGGTATTTATCGGAAGTGAAATGGGGCTTTTATGAGAAGGGGAAGGGGCTCTTATAAGAACCAAAAAGAGCATTTATTAGGAAGGACAAGGGGATGTGTCAAAATAAAAGGGGCATTTATAAGATGAAAAAGGCACTTATCAGGAGGGGAAGGGGCACTTGTCACAGTAAAACGAGTATCTCTCATAATTGAATAGGGTCATTTACAAGAGATGAAAAGGGGCATTTATGAGAATGAAAAGGAACTTTTTTCATAGATAAAAAGTGGCATTTTTAAGAAGGGACAGGGGCTCTTTTTTAAATGGGGACACTTCTCATAAGGAAAAGGTGCACATGTATAAGGTGCGCTTATCCGAGTTAAAAAGGGGTAGTTTTTAAAAGGGGAAGGGGCACTTTTATAAAGGAAAAGGGGAACTTTTCAAAGCAAAAGGGGAACCTCTCAGATTTGAATAGGGCAATTATCAGAGGTGAAGGGGATGCTAATCAAAAGTGAAAAGGGGCGCTTATTGTACCTGAAAAGAGAAACTTACTTGAGATTAAAAAAGGCACTTTTGAGAATGGAAAATGGACATTAATTGCAAAGGAACATGTGAACTTGTCAAAGGAAAAGGGCTACGTGCCAAAATAAAAGGGGCACGAGATAAAAAAATTCCTCTTGGTGCGACTGAACGAGCTTGACCCTGCAACCACCAAAGGTCACCAAAAATCTCGGAGGAAGCAGATCCAGAACCAGGAAGAGTCCCCGCCACGAATCGCATCTGAGGCATTAGGCTAGGAATATTGTGTTTTGAGGTCAAACAAATTGCAATAAAATATTTTTCACTGCAATGCATTTTAGTAAGGTCCCCCAAATGACAAACTATAAGTCCGAAAAAAAATCCGTGTAGTGGAAGTGACCCAACTGTATAAATCCAATATGGCCGCTATTTCAAGGATTTTCACATAGATTTGTCATATTGTTCTACTTGTATGGGCTGTTGTGGCACTAAACAAATTGTAACAAAATATTTGTCACTGCACTGCATTCTAGTAAGGTCCCTAAAATGACATACTAAAAGTCTGACCAAATCTCTGTAGTGAAAGTGTCCCTAATTTGTATAAATCCAATATGGCCTCTATTGTGAGGATTTTCAAATAGATTTTGTCATATTGTTCAACTTGTATGGGCTATTGTGGCATAAACAAATTGCAATAACATTTTTTTTTCACTGCAATGCATTCTAGTAAGGTCCCCAAATTGACATACTGAAAGTCCGACAAAATCTGTATAGTGAAAGTGTCCCTAATTTGCATAAATCCAATATGGCCGCTATTTCGAGGATTTCCACATAGATTTTGTCATATTGTTCAACTTGTATGGGCTATTGTGGCACTAAACAAATTGCAATAACATTTTTTTTCCACTGCAATGCATTCTAGTAAGGTCCCCAAATTGACATACTGAAAGTCCGACAAAATCCGTGTAGTGGAAGTGTGTCAAATTTACATGAATCCAAAATGGCCACCAATTTAAGGGTTTAATTTTCCTAGATTTGGTCAAATTATTCACCATACATACCTTTTAGCATACTTTGGGTGTACTTTGAAAGTCTAAAATGTTATTTCCTGAATTGCTTTTGTTTGCACAAGGTTTCATATACCCAGTTGCATGAGTGTTTCATTCTGCTTGATGAGATGGTTCGTGTCATCACCGACAAGAACTATGGCTTTAAACTTCTGCTGCATCACAATTAATTCCAGGAATCTGCTCCACATCCCAAGACGAAAATCCCATTGAAACCAATTGAACACCAATTGAAATTTCAATTGGTTTCAATTGGTTTCAATTGGTTCCAATTGGTCTCAATAGGTTTTAACAGGTTTCAATGGGACTTTAATAGGACTTCAGATGGTTTCAATTGGTCCAGATTGGCCCCATTGGACAAATTGGCACAAATAGGACAATAGGGTAATGTTCTACAAAATTTGCCAATTCAACATTCAATTGAAAATTGTGACATGATCCCATCATCTAATCGAAAAATTAAAAAGCACAAGTTTTATAGACCATAGTCTCAGCTATAACATACCAAAATTTGGGAGAGAATAGAGCTCAAATGAGCGAGATAGTGCTGAAAGATTGATGTCATGTAGATTCATAATGTGAACGAAATTGGCACCTTCCTTAGGCTTAACACGCAAATTAAGAAAATCTGCCAAGTTACCTGTAATCGCAATTTTGACTATGATGACGTCATCAAAATGAAAAATAATGTGTCGTGATCTTGGAGACAATTGCCTCAACTACAATATATCAACATTAGGAAGAGAATCAATCAATATTTACAGAGATACAATCAATATTCCATAAATATGCTGACGTCATAATATGCAAATTCGTATTTTGAGTTCCAAGGTCAATATGATGATGACACGATATAGTTAATGGCCAAATGAGACATGAAATCACATCTCCAAATCATACTCTATCCGAATATGAAAACAAATTGAGGGTTCTCGTGCATCCCAAAGAGCCAGAAGGGTTTTGTATAGGCATGTAATTGCCCATATATGCTATGTATTACAAGAGTTGGCGCGCACGGACATTTATCTTGAACGGACGCTCATTCCCTTATTAATGGTCATAAAGGGATAAACAAGGTATCAAATTGTTCGGGAAGAAATGAGGAATACTGTGTCAAAAAATACCCGGGATGAATTATTTTGCGTTCGGCCGTGACAAACGAAAACGCGCGCGCATGCGCGTGTGCGCGACTTTTTATAAAACGACATTGATAATAATGGCGTACGCGCGCGTTTTTTGACCTGAAATTGACCGGACTGATATTGACTTTGATCATGATAAATATGAATGAGAAATTCCTTTCCGTTATGAAGATATGATCATATTTTGATTTTCACAAAATGGCGCCTAGATGACGTTATCAGTCAAGGTCAAAGTTAAAAACCTTATTGTGCTCTTTCCTCATGCCAATGCATAATGTGCCAAATTTCAAGGCATTTGGTTGAGCCATTTTCAAGTTATCCTGATAACAAAAAAGTGGGTCGAAATAAGAAAAATATTCTAACGAAAACATAAGGTGGTCTGTATTATATACAGCCCACCTTATAAAGAGACCTCGTGACGTAATCCATAGGTGATACGTATTACTAACTACGCAAAGTTCTACAGAAATTTGCGATTTCTACTTTCAATTCAAAATTCCGGCATGATCCCAACTTCTGATCAAAAAACAAAAGACACCACTTTTATAGCCCATAGTCTCAGCTATACCATACCAAAATTTGGGAGAGAAGGGAGCTCAAATGAGCGAGATAGTGCTGAAATATTGATGTCATGTAGATTCATAATGTGAACGAAATTGGCACCTTCCATAAGCTTAACACGCAAATTAAGAAAATCTGCCAAGTTACCTTTAATCGCAATTTTGACTATGATGACGTCATCAAAATGAATGTCAATTTCTATCTCGTTGTGCTAAATAACCCGAACAATAGAATCAACAAAGTGGAATCAACTATTAAACGAATTTATCACGAGTTCTGAAATTTCAATTTGTTACTGCACGTCATAATAGTAATTAAAGAGCAGCGAAGGCGAACGATTGTCGCTAAAATTCAGAAATTGTTG